AGAAAACGACGGGACTCAACAGCGATGCATTGCCATGATGGTGGCAAATTTCTGAGGCCTTGCCGCAGCCTGGTACCAAGAACGGCTTTCGCGCGGTGAGTCTCCAAACACCCTAATAGAACTGGAAGAAGAGCTGCGAGCCGAGTTTGAACCCGACGATTTACAAGATCGGCTGCGTGATCAACTTTACGAATTGAAGCAAGCCCACTGTGCGAGCTTGACCGAGTATGTTGCCAAGTTCCGACGAATCTGTACGCAAGTGTGCGACATGATCGAGCGCGACAAGGTGTCCTGGTTCCAACGCGGTCTGCGAACCAGAACCCGTGAGGAGCTGCAGTATCGTCGCTGCGAGACTGTGACTCTCGCGATCCAAGTTGCCCTGGACTATGAACGCTCCCACAACTCGACCCTTAATGGTGGTCACACCAGAGACCGCGACCGCTTTCATCGCCACGATCGCCGCCCGCATCAAGGATTTCAAGATCGCCGCCATCAGTTCAACAACCGACACCAAGGAAGTCGCCCACCGCATGCGTATCCTCCACGCCAGCGCCAAGATGACGACATGGAAGTAGACAACGCCCAAGTACAACACCGTGGACAACGCCAAGTAGGCCCCTGTTACAACTGCGGACGCATGGGCCACAGAATCAGTGACTGCCGCTCTCAACCCCGGAACAATCAAGGAAGAAGCCAAGCTCAACCCCAGCGCAACAATATCTCAAGACATGCCAACCGGCCTCAGCGACCCCAGCGCAATACACCAAGTCGTCAGCACAATGCCGAAGTAACCGAAGTCAACAGCGACACCGAAGACAGCGAAGATGACGTAGTAGAAGTGATCCTACGCAACAACATGGGCCTAGCCCAGCAAGACTCCGCGGAGGAGGAGTCGCTTAACATCAATACCGCCCAGCAAGCAGTGCCAGCGCAAGAAAACAAGTTGATGATAGTTCACGGCGCACTCGACAGTACAAGCGTTCGCATCCTGATCGACTCTGGTGCCTCGAACTTGCTTTGCCGCCCAGGTTTGGCCAAGACAGTGATCCGCTCCAAGGAAGTTCAAGCAGAAGGCTTCGATGGACACTGCTCTGGCATCAAGAAAGTGAAGGAAGTATCTGGCACACTTTGCTTTGGTCAATGGACGTTCCCGGATCTTATACTTACCGAGTGGAATCTCGGGAAGAAGGACTTTGACGTCATATTGGGAAACCCTGGTTCTTTCGTTGCAACCCTGTCATTGACTGGCGTACCCACCAAATCCTCAACGTCAACTCAAGTGAAGTCGAGCCTGAACGAATCGAAGGGTGGATGATCAAAGTCACGACGAAAACGGAACCTCAGCAGAAGTTACACCCGCTCGTGGCCAGAGTTGTCGATGAATTTCGTGACGTGTTTCCCGACAAGTTACCCAACACGTTATCACC